CACAGACCTGGGTGAACTGACAAGCTATCTTGGCTTGCGGATCACCCGGGACAGAGCACGGCGCACCATCACCTTGACTCAGTCACACATGGTGCAGCAGATCCTTCAGCGCTTCCGCTTCACGTACTCCTCGCCTCAGTCCACTCCTCTGCCTACCGGTCACTCGCTCTCAGCTCTGCCTTCGGATGAGTCCGTAGAGCCGAGTGGCCCGTATCCAGAGCTTGTGGGCTGCCTCATGTACCTGATGACCTGCACTCGACCTGACCTTGCATACCCTCTTAGCATCCTTGCGCGCTATGTCGCTCCTGGCCGTCACAGGAAGGAGCACATGGATGCCGCTAAGAGGGTGTTGCGCTACTTGTGCAGTACGTCGGGCATGGGGCTAGTGCTTGGAGGGCGAGACCGAGTTGTACTTACTGGACACTCAGACGCTTCTTGGGCGGACGACCAGGCTACTCAGCGGTCGTCTCAGGGTTACACCTTCAGCCTTGGCTCCGGCTCAGTTTCTTGGCGTTCTACACGCTCTTCTTCTGTTCTCAGTTCCAGTTGTGAGGCTGAGATCTACGCCACAGCCATGGCTGCCCAGGAGCTACGCTGGCTGACCTACCTGCTGACCGACTTGGGAGAGCGGCCTCGTTCTCCTCCAGTGCTGTACGTCGACAACCAGGCTGCCATTGCCTTGTGTGAGGAGCACAGACTGGAGCACAGAACGAAGCACATCGCCCTGCGGTACTTCCTTGCTCGAGAGCTGCAGCAGCGTGGTCAGCTTCGTCTGCGTTACGTGGCCACTGAGGCCAACCTTGCGGATGTGTTCACCAAGGCGCTTCAGCCTTGTGACCATCAGCGTTTCTGTACTCTTCTAGGCCTTGTGCCTGCTGGACCCCACTTGCTTACTTCTTGACTCTGCTTGTACTGTGATCTTTATATATATGCCTGCATGTTTACACTTGCTAGGTTGTTATCACTGTTTCTCCTGTTATATTATCAACCTGCATGTGAACTGGTCTTGTGACCACTTGCTTGTGCTCGGAATTTGTGTGGTATCCTTGAGAACCACCCTGAGCTTGTTTTGCTTTGCTTTGACTGGTCTTGTGACCCCTTGCTCTCCCCCACTTTGCCTATGGGGGTGTGTCAAACATTATATGTGTTGTGCTTGTTTAGGCTACAGTGGGTTAGCCTATAAGGGGTACACAATTCTAGGGTTAGGTACTTGTACTCGTTTCACTGCTAGTTCATTCATTCCTCGTTCAGTTATTCTGACACGCTCCGCCGTCTCCGTCGTCTCTGCCACCGCCTGACTCTGTGCTTCGCCAGGTTCTTACCCTCCCGTCTTCTACTGGTCTTCCGTTACAGCCTGGCTCACCACTGCCTGCTCCTTCTCCTTACACTGAGCAGCCAGGCAGTCTTGCTGAGCGTCGTGAGCCTGCGTCGCGTCCTGTCTCGCCTGTTCGCACTCCCCGCACTGGTCGTACTGGTGGTCGTGTTCCCCGTCCGCGTCAGCCGGCTGTCCCCGGCGCACACCTCGTAGTCCGTCGTCCTTCCTCTGCTCCGCAGCGTGTTCCTCTGCCGTCTCCTCCTGCGTCCTCTCTGCCTGACGTTGCGGACCCGGTGTCGGACCAGTTTCGTGCTGAGCACCCTACTGTCACGCGTCTGTTAGCCACTGTTATCACTGACCCGTCGTTTGAGTCTGCTGCTGCGTCTGCCTTGGTCGCTGAGCTTGTTGACTTTGCTGCTGCCTGTCGTCTAGACTACGCCGCTAGTCTTGTTGCTGAGTCTGAGTCTGTATGTCCTCCGTCCGTCGGGGGTGAGTGTGCTCTTAGCACGGACGTCATTGAGGACAGGCACGAGGACCTTGAGTGTCTTGCAGCCGCTGCGCCTCATCTCGTGGCCATGCTGCTTGCCCCTGAGGGAGACCCGGATGCACCAGACATCCCGACACCGCGATCTTACGCTGAGGCGATCGCGGGTCCCTACTCCTCTCAGTGGCAGGCAGCCATGGACGCAGAGATGGCATCCTGGAAGTCCACAGGCACTTACGTCGATGAGGTTCCCCCTCCTGGGGCGAACATCGTCGATGGCATGTGGATTTTCAGGGTGAAGCGGCCGCCGGGTTCTCCGCCTGTCTTCAAGGCTCGTTACGTTGCTCGAGGCTTCAGTCAGCGGGAGGGAGTTGACTTCTTCCAGACCTTCTCCCCCACCCCGAAGATGATCACTCTTCGGGTGCTGCTGCACGTTGCCGCTCAACGTGACTACGAGCTTCACTCTCTTGACTTTAGCACAGCTTTCTTACAGGGCAGCCTGCACGAGGAGATCTGGCTGCGCCGCCCACCTGGCTTCACTGGGTCGTTCCCTCTTGGTACCCAGTGGAGCCTCCGGCGGCCAGTCTACGGTCTCCGCCAAGCGCCTCGTGAGTGGCACGACACACTGAGGACTACACTTGCGGCTCTTCGGTTCGCTCCTTCCACTGCTCACCCGTCGATGTTTCTACGCACCGACACTTCGCTGCCGCCGTTCTATATCCTCGTGTACGTCGACGACTTGGTCTTTGCCACTGCTAACACTGAGGCTCTCGCCCTGGTGAAGTCGGAGCTGCAGAAGAGACACACATGCACAGACTTGGGTGAGCTGCGCAGTTACCTTGGCTTGCAGATCACCCGGGACAGAGCACGCCGCACCATCACACTGTCTCAGTCACACATGGTGCAGCAGGTCCTTCAGCGCTTCCGCTTCACCTGGTCCTCAGCACAGTCCACTCCTCTTGCTACAGGTCACTCGCTCTCAGCTCCACCTTCGGACGAGTCCGTAGAGTCGAGTGGTCCTTACGCAGAGCTAGTGGGCTGCCTCATGTACCTGATGATCTGCACTCGACCTAACCTTGGGTACCTTCTTGGCCTTCTGGCTCGCTACGTGGCTCCTGGTCAGCACCGAAAGGTGCACATGGATGCTGCGAAGAGGGTACTGCGCTACTTGTGCAGTACATCGGGCATGGGGCTTGTGCTTGGAGGACGGAGGGACGTTGTCCTCACTGGGCACTCAGACGCTTCTTGGGTTGACGACCAGGCTACGCAGCGGTCGTTACAGGGTTACACCTTCAGCCTTGGCTCTGCTCTTTCTTGGCGTTCAACTCGTTCCTCGTCTGTTCTCAGCTCCAGTTGTGAGGCTGAGATCTACGCCACAGCCATGGCTGCGCAGGAGCTATGTTGGCTTACCTACCTGCTGACCAACTTGGGAGAGCGGCCTCGTTCTCCTCCAGTGCTCTACGTCGACAACAAGGCCGCCATTGCCTTGTGTCAGGAGCACAGACTGGAGCACAGAACGAAGCACATCGCTCTGCGTTACTTCCTGGCTCGAGAGTTGCAGCAGCGTGGTCAGCTTCGTCTTGCTCACGTGGCCACTCAGGCCAACACTGCTGATATATTCACTAAGGCACTTCCGTCTGGTGATCATCAGCGCTTTTGTACTTTGTTGGGCCTTGTGCCTACGTTTCCACACTTGCTGTAGACTCTGCTTGTACTGTGATCTATATATATACCTGCATGTTGGCTCTTGCTAGGAAGAGATCACTGTACTGTTCTTGTTGCATATATACCTCTGCATATGAACTGGCCTTGTGGCCCTTTGCTTGTGCTCAGTGTGTGTGGTGACTTTGTGATCCACCCTGAGCTGTGTTTTGTTTCTTCTCTTGACTGGTCTTGTGACCATTGCTTGCTCTGGCTATCCCCCATTTCGCCTATGGGGGTGTGTCAAAACATATGTATGTTATTATCTAGGCTATATTGGGGCTAGCCTTAAGGGGTACACAAATCATCTCGACACTCTAGGTTTGTACCCCCAACCTTCTCCTAATCAATCCATTCCCACCTAATTCTAAGATCTCTCTCTGTTAGCATCTGCTCTGCTCATTGACAAGTACTATCCGATGCTTTCTCCAGCATGGTCCTTTCTCAAACAAAATGCACCAGAGGAAAGTCTGCGTTCGGGCGCTTTTAGATGCTAATCTGGAAGTATACGAGGTAATCGCTGGTTTAGGCTTTCTTATAAGTAAGCTAAGTCGGGTTTTAGGCCTCATCAAGCTGGTTTATTTCCATCCACCTACTTACTCGTCGAATCGCCTCGACTCTCGCTCACTTTCGACCGGGTGCTTGAACCACTGTATGCAGTAACGCTGGCAGAGTTACCACTTAGGAGCGGTGTGGTGTTGCGCGTCATACACGATATTCATGCATAAGCTGCTGATGGAGCAAAGATTTGATACGTAAAATACTGTGTTACAATGACATATACCTATTTGAGGTCCAGGCACCGGCAACCACACATAAGGATAAGCATACCCACAATCACCCACTTGGTCACAAGGCTAACATCCATTGCAGCAAGCAGAAGCCCCCACCTACACGCTCACAGCCTCGGCAGCCTCAGAAGTCCCTCCCCCCCCCCCCCCCCCCCCCCCCCCCCCCCCCCCCTCCCCCCGTCCACCCCCTATCCCCACCCTAGTACCCAGTGTTACTCGGAACTGCACTTGGCTGCTGCTGGATCTGCAGAGAGAACGACAAGGCAGGGAGGTGGCACGAGTCAGATTCACAGCAAAGACCCACACGGGCGAGGTGGGCCACACATAGACTCCCTGCCGCGCTGCAAAAAGACAGCTGCTGTGGCCTTTCCGTGCGGTACTCATGCTGGCATCATGAGCGCTGAGCCCCACAGCACATGCACGCGGCTGTGAGATGGGTAAGACCGGGCTGGCAATGACAGCAATACTTGCAGAGGTTTGTGCACTCCAAAGGGACAGCTTGCATAACCTTCCCATGACACGCAGTGTGCGCGGCAAGGCACTCCCTTCACATGGTTTTATGGCTGCGTGTATGAAACCATGGGAATCATTCTAGCACCACACCCCGCAATGATACTGCCCTCTAACTAACAAAGCATTTGCCCTCGCACCAACAAGCACAGCCCATGCACCAACAAGCATAGCCGAGGCATCAACAAGCATCTCGCACTCACCAGTAGCCCCTCTTCTCGCATTCCTTAACGGCTTTCGTACGAACATCCTCGCATGCATTCTTATCCTTTTCGTTGAGGCTCACAGTCCAGAATAGAACCGCCGCCTTTGAGCAATCCTTATTCCTCGCGTTAACGCAGTTGGATGCTGCGAAAGGGTGAGAGCAAAGGGGGGACTATTGAGTCGACTTCTTTTCTTTGGACGGCCGCCTGAGAACGAGCGACATCAAGGGAGGCAGGAGCAAATGGACGGCTGAGATTCCTTCCCTCACAGCCAACTGCCGGTCATAATGCTTCCCGGCATTATGGGCAGCACGGAGTCACCAGCTCCCTTTGTACAGTATCATCAAGAAATGATAGAAAACAAAAACCAAAAATAACCGCAGGAACAAAAACATGTGGGGGCTTGGCTTGATCAATCTTACATGTCACGTGAAAGAGTTCGCGGCGATCCTGCTCGTCCCCCGCGCTAGGCTCAGCAAAACTCGGCGCGCTCTCCGCCGTGATGACGCCGCCGGCAGTTTCTACCGCTCCCGATGCACCTGCCGCCGCGCCATGCCGACACATAGATTTGCGCAGGGGAGGAAGAAACAGGGGGAAGGGGTGAGGGGTGTGGGGAAAAAGGAATGAGTGACATTTTTTCCCGCGGCGTGGGGACGTGAGGCATGGTCTGATGCAGGGGTGTGTAGAGGGAGGAGCGATGGCCCGTGTAGAGCGACTCTCACTTGAGAGGTAAATCTCGAGAGTGAATGGCTGGAGCACAAGTGGTTGGAGTAAAAACAGCTGGAGTGGTACACTTGCCGCTTGACGGGGGATGGGGGAGGTGGAGAAAGTTGAGAAGGGGCAGTGCGAGTGAGGAAGCAACAATGTGTGCAGGTACGACGTGAGTGCCATACGTTGTTGTTCACGCTCCTTAAAGCCAGGCGCAGAGGATTTGCTCAAGTTCTTGAGATGCGCACCAATATCACAGGTCTGCAACTTACCATTGCCAGGAAGCCGAAAAGATCGAGCAGCAGCAGTAGAAGCGAATGATGCAAGAGTGACGGTGAACGCAAGCAGGAGAGCGAGGGCAGTAAGAAGGCGCGCCATGATAACTACTAGGAGCTAGTGAGAGGATGTAGAGAGTTCAACTCAAGAGCTTCGAAGTGTACTGGTGTTGGGAAGGAAAAAGCCGTGGGTATTTGTATGGCGTGAGAGGGCGGATTGTTGTGGATGTGAGTGAATGGGTTGAAACGCAATCTCTCGTGCTCGGCGCGGTCACCATCGCGAATCGCTATCATCAGCGAATCAGCATCGAGAAGTTCGGTGAAACGCGTTCCAACCATAATTCATCTGAATGAATTGATTGAATAAGAAGTGGATCTTCAGTGGTGTGGTGTGTTACACACGCTTCTAGTGCGATAGATATTGATACCAAACGGTTTGCTTGAATCGCAAAAGGTTATTAGCAAAATTGAGGGCGTTCCACCAGTCGTGGCGGCCGTACACATTTTTCTCTCACCCTGAATGCCCGAGCTTAGACCCGTGGGAACTGGGATCCCGTTTCCAGTTTCAGAAAGTGGCTGTGAAGAACCCGCTAGCTACGGGCGTGTGACTCACCCAAGACCAAGAAACCGGTTTGCAAGTAAGCGTCAAGTTTAGGATCACGCACAGGGGTCTCGTATTGAAAAATATATTTTCCAGCTCAGAATTCTGGAAGTTCTCTAGCGGGTTTCGGGTTTTTCCGTGAACCATCTACCCTTCAGCAACCGCCACTTCGTGCACGTCACCCAGGAAAAATACTTGACTCTCGTGCTTTACGCCAAAAAAACTGTTTGAATCGCCGTGAGATGCGGTGGAGTCTACAAGTGAATTATATGAACTACATGCCATAAATTTGAGATGCATAGATAAAGAAAAACAAATATACAAAGTTTCCCACTAGAGCAAAATCCAGGATTGCACAACCCCAGCTCACGTCTTGCACAGCCCTTCTCCCATCACTATCAGTCTCATTCCAGAGCTTGGCGTACACGTTTGCCTCGCTGCATGTGTTGCCCCTGTTACAATCATGTCAATGAGCTAGCGAGCATGCAAAATCGTGACCCTGAATTCTAGTTGGTTCGAGGTCGAAGTGTGTGTGTGTGTGTGTGTGTGTGTGTGTGTGTGTGTGTGTGTGTGTGTGTGTGTGTGTGTGTGTGTGTGTGTGTGTGTGTGTATGTCTGTATCTGTGTGCGTGTGTGAGAGAGAGTAGGGAAGTGTGTATGTGTGCGTGTGCGTGCGTGCGTGTATGTGGGTGCGTGTTTTGTGTGTGCGCAATCTAGCACTTTGTGCATGTTATGGAAATGTGAGCAATAAAAATGTGGAGTGAGATTATGGGAAGCAATAGGAACACAGGGAGTTTGATTGCTCTCATGCGTGTTCGGTCATCACCAAAAATAAATCCACTTCGATTGTCAGGCACCAATCTTCGATGACTATTTGTCAGTACTGCTTTACTCTCATTCCTTCTGTAAATCTGCTTTGTGTGCAGAGACTCTCAGCAGCAGCCCCCTTAGAGTCATAGTTTCTTCGTCTAAAGCGTCACTCCCTGCTGCTGATTTGCCCAAAAGTGTGCTTGACCAGTGGAGAGGCCACTTTCTGAACATTATCGAACATTTGTATGAACAAATATAGATGCTTCTTCTTACCCCATTCACCCCTAGAATCCTGTGTATCCCTCCCCCTGCTAGGAGTGTGGAATCACACCCACCACACTCACAATCTCTGCTTTGTGATGTGATGCTTCAGGCTAGCATGTACAGCGATTCATGTATTAGCTGCTCTATAGATGCACCTAGCACAGGGTTCAAGGAATGATACGGTAGATACAACCAGCTGTTACAGCATAGGGTTCAATAACTACAGCTGTTACACTTTCAACCAGGCACTTGAAAGTTACCGCTTCAGCGGTGAGGTGTTGTGCGTCATGTGCGACATTCATGCATAAGCTGCTGATGAGGCAAAGATTTGATAGGTTAAATACAGTGCTACAATCAGGTACACCTATTTGACGTCCAGCCACCAGCAACCACCTAAACAACGGCACAGCATACCCTCAATCACCCACATGGTCACAAGGCTAACAGAAGCCCCCCACCTAAACGGTCACAGCCTCGATAGCCTCAGAAGCCCAACCCCACCCCCTACCCCCACCCCACCCAATGTTGCTTGGAACTGCACTTGGCGGCTGCAGGATCTGACGAGAGAAGGACAAGGTAGGGAGGTGGTACGAATTAGTTCCTCAGCACATGCACACATGGGCGCGGTGGGCCCCACATCATAGGCTCTCCAGACTCTGCCGCGCTGCAAAGGGAGAGCTGCTATGGCCTTTCCGTGCGGCCTCATGCTGGCATCATGATGGGTGAGACCCACAGCACATGCACACACTGGTGTGGTGGCATAAAGATGCTGGCCCCACAGCACGTGCACACGGCGGTGAGGTGGGTAAGATCGGGCTGGAAATGAAGGCACATTTGTGAGGCTTGCTCGCTCCTAAGGAACAGCAATCATTTCCCCTAAGGCGAAAGTGTGTGTAGCACGAAACTCCCTTGTGCACATGGTTTCATGGCAGTGTGTTTGCAGCAACTCATTTCGCTCTCACCAACTCGCCCTCTCACAAACATGAATCTCCCGCTCACCAGCCTCACAGCCCGCACTCCTGACGCTGTACCACAGTTTTCTCCTCGCACGCCTTGATTTCCTCCGGGCTGGGCCATTTAACTTTAATCAGACCCATTAAGATTGTTTGGGCGTCGAGCAATCTCTCTTCATCACTTGAGAGCACAGCGTGCCTGCAAACGGGCGACAGCAAGGGGGGACAGTTGAATCGACTTCTTCTCGTCAGGGTGCGGCCGCATGAGAATAAGCGACATCAAGGGAGGCTGGAGTGAATGGACGGTCATGGTATGCCAATGCTGGCCAGCCTTACGGGCAGCACGGTATCACCAGCTCCTTGTATACAGTAACAGCAGAAAATAAAAGAGAGGAACAGAACAAAATCAACTGCAGGAGTGGAATTTCAATGATGTGCGGGATCTTGATCATTCCTACCATCTTTCGCCGTCGACCTCAACCGAATGAGTTCGCGGCGATCCTGCTCGTCCCCCGCGCTCTCTGCCGTGATGCCGCCGCCGGCGGTGTTTACCGCTCCTGAGGCACCTGCCGCCACGCCATGCCGACACCGTAGATTCGCGCAGGTGACGAGGGGTCCGGGGGAAGGGGTGAGGGGAAGCAAGGGGATAGAGTGAATATCAGGCGCTTCCCCCTTGTGTTTCATGCGGCGTGGGGACTTTGAGACACGGTTTGGACGCAGAGGGGTGCGCGTCAGAGGGAGAAGCGACGGGCCGTGCAGAGTGATTCTCCCTTATTTTCGTCGGATTGGTCACTCTTGTAAGAATTCTTGAGAATTCTCAAAAATCGTTCTCAGAATTGTGCGCGTCAGAGGGAGAAGCGATGGGCAATGCAGATTGAGTCACTCGTATTCTCGTCGGATTGGTCACTCTTGACCGAAAGTGGCTGGAGTACAGTACTAGCAAGTGGCAAGCGGTGCAGTTGCCGCTTGGCAAGGTGAGAAGGAAGGTGGGGAAGGCTGGGACAGGGGGGCAGCGCAAGTGAGGAAGCAGCAACGTGTGCAGGTACGACGCGAGACCGGTGATTCTAGCTGCTTCATTACGCTACCTTTTCCGTGCGCGATACATCGCGGAAAAGGAAAATTGCGATTTGGGGGGTCCGAAGGTTTTTCTGCGAAAAACCTGCGACTTAGTTGCGCGAAGTGTACAAAAAACAACGCACGCAAAATGCAACAATCCGCACACCAGTGTCGAGGGTTTTGACTGAAACAAAATCCACAGTCACGCAAAAGTGTCCATTCCGTCAACATTTTCGCGTCGTGCGGTGACGCACGGTCAACACAGATTACAAGCGGTTTAGCACTGTGACAATGTTTGACAAATGTAACAACAGAACAAACGAAACAATGCGAAGCAACGAAACCAAGCGAGTTTGTACAGCTGGAAACCCGCTTTCGCTTTTTCCAAATCTGAACCCAAACCAACCAACTCCAAACCTCAGACGGTCGATGTCTTCTTCAGAAGTGTGACGTGTGAGGCTAAAAATCATTTTCACCCAATCCGCACACGCCGAAATATACACGTCAGCCACCCAACCAAACATCCACCGAATATGCTCTCACCTTCTCCCAGAGAATCCATCTCCCACAATTCACACAACCAACTTCGTTCTCCCCTCCCCTTCATTGTTCCCTTTGATGTGCAGCAGAAGCGCGCTCAAACTTCCTTCAAGCCGACAACTATGTGGCCTTTTAGAACGCCCTGACTAGGTTGCGTGCCAAGTAAGTATTCTATTTTTTTCCCTGCCATCCCTGTCCCTTTCGCACATCCCTCTACTTCTCAGACGGCGGCTTCGTTCCGCCATCAACGTCGCGCTTCAGTAACTTCGCTGGCTGCTGGGGTACACGTGAGTCGCGGCGAGGAAGGACATTGTCACGCAACATCGCAGGTAAGTTTACAGTTGTTATCTCGCAGGTGAAGTTGTCCTTATTTTATTTTATTGTGCGGTCTTAAATTACATTATCTGCATGTTCATACTCATCTCAATGTGACGTTTCCTATCTCCGTTTCGTGCGTAGCAACCGTCGTCGCTAAGATCCATATGTTGCGACTAAAGCAGTCGCAACAGCTTTTACTGCTTTTACTCTGCTAACTCAATGTGACTTTGGTGTCTAACTCTGCTTTTACTAACCCCGCTGACGAGCACCCTGTATTTGCATGTTTTGCAGAGTGTACCTAGTTTCGCAGGCTTACCGTCGCAGTATGTTTATTTTTAGCCATTTAAGCACTTGACTCTACAAACCATCAACGATTAAAAGAAGGTGAGTACAAAAATGCTTTTCAGGAGTACTCATCTCCTATGCTGTGTTTGCATGTGTTGCAGAGCGTGCCTGGTTTTGCCGGCTTACTGTCAACCCGGAGTGCAGTACATATTTTTTTTCTTCACCATTCCAGCATACTCCACCACTAAGAACCCCAATGGTGAGCATATAGTTTGGCTTTTAAAGTTTCAATTTCCTTTGTTCTTCCCGGTTACATTCGTTTTCTAACTGGCAGAGCTTGCAGGGCTTCTTAGCCGTGCATTATGTGTAGTGTAGTACTGTTTTCATTTGTATGCCTTGTAAGCTCAACGTTTAAAAGAATAAATGTTTTAAACCACCAAAAGCGCACACCAATATAGGAGATTCGTCAACCGGATACAGACGCTTTCGCCAGCAAATGAAATTCGATTCCTCACACCCCATTTTGCATCAGATTGGTCCACATGGCACGATTACGGGCGTTGATATTGTCAGGATCCGACGGTTCACGTTAGCGTACAGAAACTGCCACGTCAGCATGTTTCAGTTTCATCTAGCGTACATTGTATGCCACGTGGCGCTGTCGTGACACTTTCGCACAGGTTGCTCAAGAGTGACGTTTTCCACCCCCATAGTTGCATTACCGTATACCTCACAATTGCACCGAAGTGTACAGTTTGTGTTGGGAATGTGACGGGAAAGTCACTTCGCAAGTTACTGACGCTACCACTGTTTACGAGTCAAACTTTTTTCTTGCGCGGAAAATGCAACTGGAAAGTTACGAAACAGTAACTTTTAGGTTTTTTTTCGCACTTCCCTTTTCCGCGATGTAGGTATCACCTAACTTTTGAGTTGACTAAAAAATTGGTTGGGAGAGGGAGGCAGAGCAAGTGAGGAAGCAGCAATGTGTGCAGGTACGACAAGAGCGCCATCTCATGGTCGTTTCGCGCCTCTTAAAGCCACGGATGGAGTACTTGCTCAGGTTCTCGAAAAGCGCGTCACCATCGCACGGAAATAATTGGCAGTCATCACCGCACGGGTCTGCGACTTACCATCGGCAGTCATCCCATTGCCAGGAAGCCGAGCAGATCGAGCAGCAGCAGTAGGAGCGAATGATGCGAGAGTGACGGTGAAGGCAAGCAGGAGAGCGAGAGCAGTAAGCAGACGCGCCATAATTACTACTATTACTATCCAGTAAAGAGGATGCAGGAAGTCGGAAGTGAGTGAACGAAATGTGGGATTGGTGTCGGAGGGAGGTGTGGGTGTTTGTATGGGCGGTTTGTGGTGGATGTGAACCGGCTGAAAGTGCAGTTGCTGCTGATGCCCAGCGCAGCACGGTCAGTCACCATCGCGATCGCAAACCCCAGCGAATCAGCATCGAGAATTTTGGCGAGACGCGTTCCAACCATAATTCATTTGGAAGGGTCGCTTGACTACGAAGTGGATGTTGGGTGGTGTGGTGTGTTATAGATACAAATCGGCTTGCTTGAATCGCAAACGGTGACGAGGGAACTTGATCGCGTTGACAAGGCGTGGTGTTTGACACGCCTTACACATTTCTCTTTCACCCTGACTGCCCGAGCTGAGACCTGTGGGAACTGGGATTTCGTTTTCACTTTCAGAATCGTGATTGTGTCGACCTTGGAAAACGAAGTGCTACCAACGGGGGTGTGACGCACCCAAGACCAAGAATCTGGGAAGCAAGTAAAGCATCAAACTCAAAAGCATGGACTATATTGGTCAGGTTTCGAGTAAGTATTCTAGCTCACGATACTTTGGTACGCCACGCAATGTGAGTTTTTGTCAAACATTGCATGTTTATATTATGTAGGCTGTAGTGGGTTACACCTTAGGGGGTACTCAAAGTTAGGGTTTCCTACTTGTACCAAACTCTGTGCTAGTTCATTTCATTCCTGCTCAGTTATTTCTGACATGGTTTCAGAGCAGGTCCTTCGCTAGGACTGTTCTTAGGGCCCACCGACTTACCTACCTGCTTACCTTCGCTTGTTTCCGGCCCCGCTGGCCCCGTCGATCTAGCACGATCTAGCGGCCCTGCGGCCCCGTCGAACTTTTTTTTCCTAGCGGCCTCTCACGGCCCCCGTCGCGTCGCCCCTTAGCGCCCCGATCGGCCCCGTCACGCCGCCCGCGAACCGCACAGCGCGCCGCGCTCACAGCCCGCGAACCGCCCACGCACAGCCCGCGAACCGCCTGCGCAGCCCGCGACCAGCCCGCGCAGCCCGCGCACAGCCCGCGAACTGCCCGCGAGCAGCCCGCGACCTGCCCGCGAACCCCCGCGAGCCGCCCGCGACCCGCTTACGCAGCCCGCGAGCAGCCCGCGCAGCCCGCGCTGAGCCTGCGCGGCTCGTGCGCTGACCGCCGCCGGCCCGCACGCTGCCCGCACAGCTCATATACGGCCCGCACGGCCCGCGCGCTGCCTGCTCCCGGCCCGCCGCTGCTGAGCCCGCAGCCGCCCGCGCACCGCCGCTGCTGAGCCCGCCGCCGCCCGCGCACCGCCGCTGCTGCGCCCGCCGCCGCCCGCGTATCACCGCTGCTGAGCCCGCCCCTGCTGCGCCGGCTCTCGCTGCCGCCTGCTGCGCCTGTGCACCACTGCAGATCCTACTACTACACTTCCTGCTACTGCTGCTTGTGCGCCACTACAGTCCGTAGGCCCCACCGGCCCCGCTGACCCTGCGCACGCCTTTTCAGTGACTTTACTGCTTCTACTACTGCCGCTGTCGCTATGGCTAGTCCTCCTGTTCTAGCTTTCGACGCCGAGGGCCGTCCGGTCAAATTCGAAACCTGGCTAGATGACCTGCACCTTTTCCTACAGCTCACTGCCAAGGAAGATATTACACTGTACGACCACGCTCTCGGCCATGCGACCGCCCCACTCGCTACTGCCCCCCCAGCTGAGCGCTCACAGTGGCAGACCCGTGACGCGCACGCTCGCTTTGCTATTCGCAACTCCCTGCCGCTAGATGAGCGCGAGCACTTCGGCCAGTGCAAGACTGCTAAGGACCTCTACACAGCTGTAGTGGCCCGCTACTCCTCACCCGCTTCTGCCACGCTAGGCCGCCTCACTCTCCCCTACCTGTTCCCCGACCTAGCCTCCTTTCACACTGTCGCAGACCTCATCACCCACCTTAAGACTAGTGAGGCTCGCTTTCGCGCTGCCATGCCTGACGAGTTCCTCGCTAGCAACCCCCCCCCGCTCTGGATCACTCTCTACCACGTTGTCACCCGCCTCCCTGACTCTCTGCGCCCTGTCAGGGACCAGTTCCTCTCTCGCTCCCCCACTGAGCTCACCGTAGACCTCCTCGAGAAGGAACTGCTTGCAGCCGAGGCTAGTATCGTCGCTGTAGGCACCTCTCGTGGCGACCCCCGCGGCCCCTTCTTCGAGGGGTGCT